AATAATACCTAATGTGACAAGGAACCAAGAGATAAAAAGAGGAAACTGCGGACTGCTTTAACAACTTCAAATCATGTTATGTTTTAATAATCTTTTGTAGTGCTATAAAGTGCACTTATTTTGATGTGTTGACTAACATACTAAAGCACATGTAAAGTACCTGATTATGATTTAACTGTAGTGTTTTATTTGATATTACATTTAAAGTGAATATATTTTAAATATACTGAATTGAAACTTCATCATTACAAATGTGTAATTACATATATTAAATTTAAAGATGCTATATGTAACTTTTCTTCTAAAATGAATCCTTTTTTTATTGCCTGTGTGTGAAGGGGTTGTAATCACACATTACAATGATCCACTTGTCGGGTTTTGCTATTATCTCTGAAGGCCAGTATTCCCATTTCTATGTGAAGTCTCCGGGTTGGATTTTCGAAGAAATCCATCGGATGGGATGTGCATTCGTGCTCCCGAGCCTCTCTCCTTTTTATATACAGTCTATGCGACGGCACAGCAGCGAACAACATGGAGTCTGATAACACCAAAAAACGACCTGCCTCTATTACAAATTCCACATAAATATAGAAATCAAAACAAAACCTTATCTGCTGAAGCTTGTCAGGCCAAACGTGAATCGGATCGACTTAAGACAAAAACACGGATCAACATCGGCACAGCGTTGAATTATGTAAACCTCTGCTATTTTTATTGTGATTAAATTACAAGTTTTCAAATATGCTGAATTAATGATAAACTGTAATGAAATAGCAAGGTAAACTACAACATATACTGTATGTGACATGAAATTAATACAAAAGACTGTTCCAGAATAACAAAAAGTAGGTGCTTTAGGATGTAACTTTTATTTTATGTACTAGATCTACTGTCTAACGTCACTCATCCCACTACTATCATATTGTTTACAATACACATTTCCAGACATGTTCAGTACAGTAATGTTGCTACTGTTACACTGAAAATGTTCACTTAACATTTTCATTATCATATTATACATTCACCTATGTTTACATTGCTGATTGCGAAAGATACACAAATAGTTAGTGAAATGCCTTATGCTAGATAACACCACAAATGTAGCGTTATCATGGTACGAGCATTAGTTCAACGTCAAGTTGATAAAAGTAGCCTATTATCGTAACGTTGCAGTAGGAGTTTACATGAGTTTCCAGCATGTTGTGTGATGCTTTCTCCGGTGTGTTGAAAGTCTCAATGTGGCCGTGCATTGTACCATGAGTGCTCGCTCTTGTGTTCGAGCATGCGCAAGAGCACGAGCGCTCTTGTAAAAATTGGTTGCAATTTGAAACATCACCGATAGAGGCCGCTAAAAAATACATATAGCACCTTTAATGTACATTAAGCAGTCCCTCCAGAAAAACGCGATTATGCGATCGCTGAATTCAATGCAAAATCAGCCAAAGTCCGGATATTTTTGCGGGGGCCGTATTTTTTCAAATACGCTGCACTTTCGCCGCATAAATTGCCGATTTCCATGCAAAATATGCGGGGTTTGCATGATTTCATAATCCTTGTATTTTCGTTGCAAAAAGAGTCACATATATCTTAGCAGAAAGTTGAAAAATGTTGCGTTTGCTTCACACAAGAGCAGCCATTTCCCCCTGTTTCCATGGGAACGTTATGAAGTGACGCAATTACGCGACGGGATAGATCACAGCTGAAGTTATTGCAGAGGCCAGACAGACTCACGGAGGCGATTGACATCTCACAAATCTAACTCGTATAACTGTCTGTCACACGTTCTACCGTCATATCGTTACTTAATAAACAAAATAAGATACAAGAAGGGGTGTTCGAGTTGAGGCACCGCAGAAAGTTCAACAGGGAGCACGCAGCTCTTAAAGGGCCCACACCTTATTTTCACTCGTTACAGTCTGAAATAAAACATTGCTGTTTTTGTCATTTTGAAAGAGAGTCTATTGTGCACTTATTCTTTGAGTGTGTAATCTTCAATCTTTTGGAATGAGATGTCTCAATTTCTAGGTTTTAAAATGAATTTCAACCTTGTCTTAAATTTGTCATCTGTCTTACTTCATATGATTTTGACTTTCCTATAAGAAAAATGTATGTTATCGATTTGTTTCTATTATTAGGAAAATTTCATATTCATCAAACTAAGTGTAGTAACTCAAAACCCAACTTTGATCATTTCAAAACAGCCTTTAAAATGTATTTCGAAAAAAAAAAAAAACCTGAAAAGCCCAAAGATCTGTATCTCTGCTAAAGGAATTTAATATATGTCTGTGATCCCATCTATCTTTCTTCTCCCCCCCCCCCCAAATTATTGTTGTCTCATATTTTACTTATCAGATGTTATACTTATCAGAAAATGTGTAAAAAGAAATGTCAAGACCTTGATATCAAACTCTGTGATTTTGAAAATTCAATAAATATAAAACAAGATGAGAAATTAAATATTCCCAGCACTTTCTATGATGTAGTATTCTTCCTTACCAAAGGAAGTAATAAGAAATGACTCTTTACATTAAGGTAGTAGCCTAGTAAGAACAGGGTGTTGGGGGAATCACTTTTTTCTACTTTTCAGCAAACCGCAGTTTTTGTAAGTTGCCGCAATTTTTGCAAGTTCCCGCAATTTCATCGCATAAAATTGCATAAATATCCCGCATATTTCATCGCATTTTTAAAGAAAACTAGCCGCGTAATCAAGGATTTTTGCCCGCAACAATCACAAAAAAACTCTGCGTTTTTCTGGAAGGACTGATTAAGGCTATGTTTACATGGAAACGATTCTGAAGAGAAAACGCAAAAGTGGCGTTGCATCATCACTTTTTATTCTGCGTTTAGACGAGCGTTTTGGGTGGGAAATCCGTGTGCATATGGTGACGCAAAAGTGTGTGAAATTCAATGTAGTATGCACTCCAGACGGCTAGTTGGCGATGTGAAGCACTGCCACACAACAACACCAAGTCTTCGTGTCTGCGTACAACCTTCACTGTCAAGCAGACTTTTGCGTTTTTACTGTTTACACAGGAACGCGGTGGAGCGTTTTTAAGATTTCCACTCTGGAGGGTGGTTTCACTTTTTTGCGTTTTAAGCCCCAAAAACGCCGTCGCCGTGTCAACGAAAGGCACATCCGATAAAATATTTTTACGTTTTCACCGGCGAGCGTTCTAAAAGTTTCAATAGAAATAACATTGACGAATGTTTTAGTTTACCATAAATGCTTGTCAGTACATTCAGTAGCACACTTTAAACAGTAACTGTATTTCAAAGACAACAGAAATCAATATAAATTGACATATAAAGAGAAGTATTTAAGCCCTACTTAAGAGGGTCAAAAAACACTCACAATTATTTTACATTTTCATTTAATTGCAATTAAAATATTATTTTAAATTATGGTATTTCTGTAATAAGTACTTTTTTTGAATGTATGCTAAAGTGTACTTTTCACAAGGTCATTTATCCACTACAACTGCTAGTGCACAGTGGCACTTTCTAGTAGATTCCAAGAAATAAGAAAAACTAAATACTTTCCAAAGATCTCTTTTTATAATATATTTTTGCTAATTTCAGTTCTCTCAGAGACAACAGATTCATCCGAGGAAGAGTGGCAGTCGATTTCTGATCTGGCCAGCGCCTGTCGGAACATTCTGGAAGCTTTGTCTCAAGAAGGTGAGAAATGACAATTTTCAGTGGATGAAATGTGTTTGAGCATGTGAAAGTCTGTTCACTGAAGAATGCTGGTCTGGTAAATTTGCAATGTTAAGATGGAATATTACTGGTCAGTCATTTCCTGCTGGGTTTCAGATCGGAAGTCAGGAGATGGAACTCACGCGACTATGACCCAGCCAGGTCAGACGGAAACCAAGTTTAAAGACTTCAAGGACAGGTGAGAATGACTGTGCTATGCATTCTTTTGACATTCGATGATACTCACAACATGAGGAGAGACACAACTCAGGGAGAACTATAAACTGACCTGCCAAAAACATTTACAGTATGCACTTGTGATATTAAACATTGAGCCGTTGAAGTCTAAATACTTCAACAGAATAAAATATATACAGTATATATATCATATGATATATCACACCATGTATTTGTGTTCCTTTGTGTTCTTCTTTCTCTCCCTGCCTTCGCAGTGACTCGCCTGGTCACCTCGAGGAGAAAGTGTCCCAGTTAGAGGCCATGCTGAAGCGACTGCAGGACGACCTCCAAAAGGTACTTTGTCCTCTGTGGGTTTGTCACAGCACAGCTCTCTCTGTCGCAGCATACTTCCCACACAGTAACCCCGTTCAAATATCTCCCATTAAATACATCCACCCATCCTTGTCTGTATATCTGCCCTGTCCAGTCCTTGCCCTCTTCGCTACTTCAAAGAGCCACTGCTGCTTCACAGAGCCAATCAAACAGAGGGACTGTAGAGGTAGGGCGGGACAAGCAAAAGAAACCTGTCTTGTCATTGAGCAGGGTGAACAGAGGAGATGAGAAGATTGCTGGAGGGACAATGGGCAGCCATGCTCACTCTCAACACTAACCGACCAATGGCAGTGAAGGCAAGTAGAGCATGAGATTTTTACTCAATCAGTAACAAAAAAAAACAACAACATGTATGACAGCTCTCGCTTGATTAACATCAAAATGATGCGGAAGTTTAACTCGAGGATGTGAAGGACATGTTTGATATAAAGTTGAGAAGCAAAGCCTCAGCCCATGTCAATCAAAACACATTTATGTACTTTGGTGAGCGGCAACGATTAATGCAACGATTAATCGTGATTAATCACAGTCAAAATAAGTTTGCATTAAGATATGTGTGTGTACTGTTTAGAATTATTCTGTAAACACACACATGCACACTCTCAGAAAAAAAAGGTACAAAATCTGTCACTGGGGCTGTACCTTTTCAAAAGGTACACTTTTGTGCCCAAAGGCTGCATATTGGTACCTTAGTGGTACTTATTAGCACCTAAAATGTACATATTAGTACCTAAATGTACATATTAGCACCTAAAATGTACATATTAGCTCCTGAAATGGACACATTAGCACCTAAAATGTACATATCAGTACCTAAATGTACATATTAGCACCTAAAATGTACATATTAGCTCCTGAAATGGACATATTAGCACCTAAAATGTACTTAGCACCTAAAATGTACATATCAGTACCTAAATGTACATATTAGCACCTAAAATGTACATTAGCTCCTGAAATGGACATATTATCACCTAAAATGTATTTAGCACCTAAAATGTACATATTAGTACCTAAATGTACATATTAGCACCTAAAATGTACATATTAGCTCCTGAAATGGACATATTATCACCTAAAATGTACTTAGCACCTAAAATGTACATACCTAAATGTACATATTAGCACCTAAAATATACATATTAGCTCCTGAAATTGACATATTATCACCTAAAATGTACTTAGCACCTAAAATGTACATATTAGTACTACATGTACATATTAGCACCTAAAATGTACATTAGCTCCTGAAATGGACATATTATCACCTAAAATGTATTTAGCACCTAAAATGTACATATTAGTACCTAAATGTACATATTAGCACCTAAAATGTACATATTAGCTCATAAAATGGACATATTATCACCTAAAATGTACTTAGCACCTAAAATGTACATATTAGCACCTAAATGTACATATTAGCACCTAAAATGTACATATTAGCTCCTGAAATGGACATATTATCACCTAAAATGTATTTAGCACCTAAAATGTACATATTAGTACCTAAATGTACATATTAGCACCTAAAATGTACATATTAGCTCCTGAAATGGACATATTATCACCTAAAATGTACTTAGGACCTAAAATGTACATATTAGCACCTAAATGTACATATTAGCACCTAAAATATACATATTAGCTCCTGAAATGGACATATTATCACCTAAAATGTACTTAGCACCTACATATTAGTACCTACATGTACATATTAGCACCTAAAATGTACATTAGCTCCTGAAATGGACATATTATCACCTAAAATGTATTTAGCACCTAAAATGTACATATTAGTACCTAAATGTACATATCAGCACCTAAAATGTACATATTAACACTTAAAATGTACATATTAGCAGCTAAAATGGACAAAAGTTTACCTTTTGAAAAGGTACAGCCCCAGTGACGGCTTTTGTACCTTTTTTTCTGAGAGTGCATGTATATATTAAGAAATATCCGCATGTACTGTGTATAGATAATTATATATAATTTACATTATAAGAAATATTAATATTTTATAAACACAATTTACTTAAATGTATACATGCTTGTGTGTGTATTTATCTTTGTATTTATATAAAAAAAATTATGCACAGTACACACAAAGTTTTATTATGGATGTGATTAATCACGAATTAATCGTTGCCAGCCCTAATTTAGTGATAGGCAAGGAAAAACACACATTCTATGAGAAGCAGGAGACCCAAAGATAGATAAATACATCTGAGCAAGTTGAATGGATTCATTCAGATATTCCCTGATATACGTTTTTATGCTCTCTTTTTTTTTCTCAAAAGATTCAGAATTCGGAATTCAGAAACTAAGAGAAAAAGACATTGTAAAATAGTGAATATTATAAAATAGATATTTCACGTACACATGAATTTACAGTAGTAAATGTGTCTTGATTCCAACTGGTATTAATATTCAGACCCTGATTTAATTACTAACATCCCAAATAAAGGGAACTCATTTTACAAATCTAACAAAATCACATGATTGGTTACAAACTAATAACCATAGGTTGCTATCATACATGGTTTTTAAATGATAACGATAGCTACGTTTTGGCATCTATGCATCTTTATTTGGCACTGCCCTAAAACGGATGCTATGTGATACTAGTGACTGGAAACATTGTATCGTATGTTTTTTTCCCATTCACACATGAATCGACAATTTAGCATATTCACCAATTCAAATGTTTAAATGCATAGTTTAGGGATAGTTTACCTAAAAATTTCCATTGTCAGCATTTACTCGCCTTCATGTTGTTCTGAACATGTTTGACTTTCTTTCCTTTTGCTGAACATAAAATAAGAATATTTTAAAGAATGTTGATAGCAGCAGGAAAAAAACTCATACGGGTTTAGAACAACTTTAGGGTAAGTAATGACAATTTTCATTTTTGGGTGAACTATCCCTTTAAGTGCACTTAAATGTGGTTGTGATTGCTGACACTTTGCAGTGTGCTCAACATGTCTAATAGGAAATGGACAGAAACCTTTAGTAATGCGAGGATAGTCATGTTGACCCTACAGATTTAAATAGAAAAAAATATTGATCTTAGTTAATGTTAATTTCACCTTTACTAATACATTATTAAAATCAAAAGTTATATCTGTTAATGTACCTTAGCTAACATGAACTAACAACCAGCAGTTGTTTTATTAACTAACATTAACAAATACTAATGAATACTGTAACATATATATTGTTCATTGTTAGTTAATGCATTTATAAAGTTGTGTTGTAATGTGTTACCAGATATTCTTCTGTTGTTTTTAATTATGAGGGATTTGTTGATTTAGACCAGAAACAAGAATCCAATTCCGTTCACAATTTTCTTGGGTTTAGAATAACCCAGTTTTAAAATACACAATTTTAGAATATGTCTACTAATAATAATTTATTAGAGCATAATCTTACAGAAGCCCCGAATGTGAATTCTTATTTTTTTCTGTTTCCTATTTTTATGCTGTGCTTAACAACAACAACATCAAAACTGGGCAAGAAAAATCGAATAAAAAAATATACAATTAAAATCAAATGATTAAAATAACTGGATAATTATCTATTTACTAATATTATCTTTTATTATGGTGTTGCTTTAAATATGATCTTGTTGTTCAAAACAAGTTAAGTTCCATTGACAGTATTTGTGGCATAATATCAATTGCCACAGAAAATAATTTTGCACACATTTTACACACTTTACAACATATGCCTGTTTCATTTTCTAATTTATGAAAGCTAAATTTCTGTCGAGTGTAGTTGAGTATAGTTTTTGAAATTGTCATTTCAATTATATTGAGAGGCATTTCTCAGGTAAAAGTCAGACTTTGAGCTACAAAAAGTCTTTTACATGTGGCACTCATATATAAGCAGATAAATCTATGCAAATGCAAAGACCACAACAGTATGAATGAAGTGCATGCACACATAATAACGCTATAATATAATAACATAATATATTATGATTAAGGCCCCTCTTAGCAGGATGAATATACTGTAGCTGATCTGGGGTCTCAGGTTTGTTTGATTACATTATTGGCATAAGGTCAGGAAGGGAAAGAGAGGCTGAGCATGGTTGACTGCATAATGTCCCACAGTTATCCAGCACACTCATCTAGGTAAACCATAAACCCTTTGGTCACCTTGAGATTAAAAGTGTGGCCTTATAAAATGCACAGATAACAATCTATCATCAATTACTACCATGTTAGACGCATCATTGCTTTTCATGCATGAATATCACTCGGGATATTTCAGACACATGAATATTGCATTATAATCCATGTATTTTTCTTTTCTTGCTTATTGAATGCTTCATATCACTGATGCAGCCTGTGTATGCATGTCTGATGCCACTTTTAGGATTTTATTTTTTTTTTTTGCAATCGAGAGCTAATTAGAATGCAGGCCCTGATTTACTAAGATGACAAATAAAAGCTTGCAAACTTGTTCAATCTACAGAACTATATTCCAAATATCTACCATGGAAAAATAAGTACACCCCTCTGTTTTGTAGCTGGTATTGCATCCATTTGGCAGAAATAAATTATAATTTTTTTTATATAATTGTCTATCAGTCTCTTACATTTATTAGAATAATGGTTAGCCCATTCCTTCATGCAGAATTAATTTAACTGCTTTTATTTATTACTTTTATTTAGCAAGAATGCATTAAATTGACCTTTACAGTGTTCATATTTTAAATAAATACTGTTCAAATAAATATTAGAGAGGAGAGGTTTCTTATAAGTCCCCAAACAGCATTTCAATTAGATTTTATTTAGCTTTTTCTATTTTTAAGGTTAATGACCAAACCAGACCAGTTTACTGAGGTTTATATAAAGTGTGGCTTTCCAGTTTAATGTTCTAATTTGCACTTCATAAATGTAGGTGTTTACTAGCTTTTTCCACACAAGAAAAAGGACCTTTTTCTAAGGTGTACATTGCCAAATATCCATTTCAAGTTTTATTTATTCATTTATATTGCCCACTAATGTATTGCGTTTGTTTTAATGCCAATCCAATATCCAAAACGTTTGGGGTCAGGAAGATTTAAAAAAAGAAAGAACGAAATGAATACTTTTATTAAAGGGATACTCCACTTTTTTTGGAGATAGGCTCATTTTACCACTCCCCCAGAGTTAAACAGTTGAGTTTTACCGTTTTCAAATCCATTTAGCCGATTTTCTGATATTTAGGAGAATATCAGTAACCAGACCGTTTCTGGTCTCATTGACTTCCATAGTAGGAAAAAAATTAACTATGGAAGTTAATGAGACCAGAAATTGTCTGTTTACTGATATGCTTCTAAATATCAGAAAATCGGCTGAATACATCTGAAAACGGTAAAACTCAACTGTTTAACTCTGGAGGAGTTGTAAAATGAGCCTATTTCCAAAAAAGTGGAGTATCCCTTTAAGCAACAATGCATTAAATTGATCAAAAGTGTCAGTAAATACATATCTTTTTTTTTTTCATCACCTTCCTTAAAGAACCCTGAACTAAATGCTCCACCGTTCCTACAAAGCCCTACATCACAGGAATAAATTACATTTTAAATTATATTCAAAAGGGAATAGTTCTTTTTACAGTTACAGTTTTTACAGTATTGATCAAATAAATGCAGCTGGTGAGCATAAGAGACTTATTTGTATAGCTCTTTTCATAATTCATATTGTTTAAAAGCAGCTTTACAGAAAGTGCATTTTAGAAAAGTACAGTTAGTTAGTCATTTATTAATTTAGGGCCGGCGTTGAGTCGTCACTTTACAGGCGTCGAGTCGTCTCTTCACAGACGTTTAATCATCTCATCACAGGTGTTGGGGCATCTGAAGTCTCCGTGAGAGGCTGGATACAAAATGGAGCTGACATTCGCCATTTACCAACAGCAGAAAAGCAGATGAGAAATAATTAGCATAGCTAGTGTCCATAATAGTAATGCATTCGATCTGATTCAACAGTGGTATAAAAGGTAAGCATTATGTGAATGCTTGGCTAAAGAGATGCGTATTTAATCTAGTTTTAAAATGGACAGCGAGTCTTAGCCTCGAACAATATCAGGAAGGCTATTCCAGAGTTTAGGAGCTAAATGTGAGAACGCCCTCCCTCCTGTTGTGGACTTAGATATACTAGGAATGACCAGAATCCTCGAATTTAGTGATCTTAAAGGGATAGTTCACTTTGAAATTAATTTTTGATATGTTTTAGCTTACCTCAAGGGCATCCAAGATGTAGGTTTCTTTGTTTCCACAGTATTTTCAATTTTGACATTTTTCAGTCAAACCGTTGTTGTCTATCATTCATACACTGGAGGCTAAGGGGGTCCACCAAAAAGCATGCACAGAGAAGTCAAAATCAAACATGATTTAATGACTCATAAATGTAAGTACACATTGATGGCCTAAGACACAAAACGAGTGGTTTGTGTGAGAAATCGTTTTTACCTCTTGTAATCATAGCCATGACAAAATGATCTGACGGAACAGGGCGCTTCGGTCTGCGCATGCGCCGGAAGTGATCGCTTGCGCGCCTACGTCACTCTTTGTTTATACAGAGATTTCAGAAGTTTTACCTTTCACTAAACATATTTAGATATACGGGAAACCGCAATGGAAGATGATTTCGGCATATCTAAATATGTATAGTAAAAGGTAAAACTTCCGAAATCTCCGTGTAAATGTTGAGTGACGTCACACGCAAGCGATCACTTCCGGCGTAACATTGAACTGATTCAGTTCGGTTCAGTTGGACATTGCACAACTGATTCAGATCACTTGGACGTCACTGTGATTACACGAGGTAAAAACAATATAAATACTGTTCGTTTTCTCACAAAAACCGCTCGTTTCGTGTCTTAGGCCATCAATGTGTACTTACATTTACGAGTCATTAAATCATGTTTAATTTTGACTTCTCTGTGCATGCTTTTTGGTGGACCCCCGTAGCCTCCAGTGTATGACTGATAGACAACAACGGTTTGACTGAAAAATGTCAAAATTGAAAATACTGTGGAAACAAAGACACCTACATCTTGGATGCCCTTGAGGTAAGCTTCAAAAATTAATTTCAAAGTGAACTATCCCTTTAAAGAACGCAATGGATTGTAGGGCGAAAGAAGGTCCATTAAATACACAGGAGCTAAACCATTTAGGGCTTTATAGGTCAGTAGTAATACTTTGTAATTGATTCAGAACTTAATAGGTAACCAGACTTCTTTCAAAATATTTTCATTCTCGACTCCAACTTACCAACTTTTAAAAGGTAATTCCTCATTTGCAAACCTTTAGTAAATCAGGGCCTCAGTGTACGAACTATCAGTAGTCCTCATTTATCCACTTTTTGTATAGCAAGTGATCTAAGGATCATTGTTTTCTGTGCAGCATGTACTGTAATAGTGTGTGGCATTCGCTGGTAATGTGTGTCAAGCAAGCCATTGAATTCAATGGTTGACGTGATTTTGCCAAGTAAGACATGTTTCTAGATCAACATTTTTTGTTGATCCTGGAATAACAATCCTGTCCAAAAACATAGTTTTAACCATATCTCTACCCCTAAACCTTGCTCTATCCATAACTTGTCTGAAATCAGAGTGAAATCATAGGTGAATGAGAATGTAGAAGCACCTAACCCTTGTTTTTGACATTAACCATAAACCTTTCCCTCAAATTTGACTGGTTGATTGGAATTTTGTTCCAACAAGGACGTTGATGCAGGAACTTGTTTTACTTGGTGAAATCATGTCTGTCTGCCTGTCTTTATCTGTCTCATACAGTACTACCAACATTGAGATGTAGTAAACCCTCTTGTGGCGTGGATATGTCCAATCAATACAGAGTGAGAACGCTCAAACCTGAAAGACATTGTTTGCATGCTTCCCACAGGAGAAGGAGGACAAGGCAACGCTGCAAGCAGAAGTGCAAAGTCTCAGGCAGAACAACCAGAGGTTGCAGGAAGAGTCCCAGAGTACCGTGGCGCGGCTCATTAAGGTCACTGAACTGCTCTGCAACGTCAACAAACCCTGCTAGCATTGAAGGCCAAACCATGGCAGCAAGCAAGATCAACAGACTGATCTAAAGGCCGATGCAAAACTTGCAAACAACGCCCTAAAACTTCTCTTAAGTGACAAGAACATTGGCAAGCCTTACTCGAAAAGTGCACGAAAACAAACTGGTCGGCTAAAGTACATTCTTACTCAAAATATACTTAATATAATTAACAAGTCATCCAAATCTCTGTTTCACCCTAAACAGTTTTCAGGGCTAGATTCACATATAGTCCCATCACTGTGACAGGTTGTTAACAATGATAGCCTTCTGTGCAAGAACCAGTCTCGCAGGAAACACTTAATCATTACTGTTTTGGAAGCATGCCCTTAACATCGGCTAATGTTGTTTACAAGCAGTTCGAAACCATCTGACTGATCCAAATTAATTATTTGAAACCCTCAGACCTGACTTGAGAAGACATTTAGTGTCATTAACTGTTCAAATTCTTATTATACTTTTAAGTATTTCTTCCCTACATAGTGAACCGTGTCCCGATACCTAGCAATACATTCCCCTTACCTGTGTTGAAATGGCTTCAGGAGTTCCAGACCATGTACTTCAGTGTATATACAGTTTCTTACTAGAAGAAAAATATTCAAATATCAGTGTGACTGTAACCCTCTATTAACCATCACAGTGTCAGAAATGGGTTGAACTCGATCTGACCTTTTCTCTGTTGGCAATGGGGTAAAAGGCTGGCTTCTCACTTATCTCTGGAGTGAATATGCGAATACCAAGAGCGAGTCAAACTGAAGGTGAAAATCTGTGCATTTTGGTAAACACATTTTTTTTAGGACTACCCTTGTGAAAAAGAAGTGCGCTTAATTGGATTGAATGTGCACTTGAAGTTTACTTCAATACTTAAAAAGTATATTTAAAAAAAAAACTTGCAGATAATATTAGCTACTGAAATAAAAGGCCACTTAAGTGTACTTAAAGTACATTTAAGTACAGATTTAATAGTCTTTTGTCATGTTTCAAAGTTTTAAATTATTTTGATAAGTTTAAAGTTAAGATATTTTGAATATATTTTATTACATGACATACAATTTTTAATAGAAATTAAGTATATTTTAGTTTACCATAAATGCTTGCTGGTTTCAAAGACATTAAAAATGATAGTGGGTCAAAAATGCACTCTAAATTTCAGCTAACTGCATTTAATATAAATTCAAACTAAAATACATTTTCATTTAATTGAAAATAACTATTACATTCATTTCACACTGAAGTATATTCTTTTAAAGTATATTATTACTCTTTATTTTAAAAATATGCTTTTAAAAATACTTTTTCACAAGGGACAAGTCAAAATTGTGTTCTGTGGTAATCAACAGCATGTTGTCAGTTGAATATTCCTTGTTTTTGGACAAATAATTTGAGAATAGCCGTTTTTTTTTTTTATTGAGACTCACTGGACACTTTTTTTTAATCGATCAATGATATTTACTGACGCATACCCAGCTAATTTCACAAATTTCACGGTTGTTTAGCTGTGATTTCAGCAATTGGACAGTGTCTGAGATCTGAAATTTTACATTCTCGTGAATGTGTGTCTGTGTGTGTGTGACTGTGCGCATGTGTTTTTTAAGTCTTATGTCTGATCCCACTGAATCTGAATGAGCCTTGCAGACACTTGCTTGAAAGACATTGATTTGAGAAGAAAACTGTTCTTAGTGTTAAGTTACGAAGGGAAGCAATGACTTAAAGTAGTACATTTCTTTTAATATATATTGCTTCAAGTGTTTGCTGCTCACAAAGAATTAAGAGAAGAGCCAGACCAGATCACAAATTGCCTAGAGTGCTTTACATTGAATTGTGAGACGGCACATATTTATAAAATTGCTATTTTGTCTCTTTTATTTTCCATATAAAATCTTTCTTTACCTCACCTAAAGGTGCACTGATAATAACATGAAAATGTGACGAGAAGAAGAGCATATTGACTGGACTCACACTCATAAAACAAGCCGGACTGAAGTTGAATGAATCACACGGCACCACCACAAACCTACATGCAAAGGGAAACGAAGCAAAATGTTAAATATCCATACATCATACATGGTTTCTCCCCTTCAAATGTTGAGTTTTTTTTTATTTTAGAGTCACTGTGATAACTTGGTACCAGCAGATTCTAATGTATTACAATGGAATTATAAATCTATATCTTTATTCCTCTCTGTGAAGATATGTAGAGCCAAAATAAGTGTTACTTCCCTCTGATGTGTGTAAGTCTATATCCAGATGGAGCTGGAGTTTACTGATTAGTTGTTACCATTAGTGGAGAATTTATTGAGTTTGATGAATGCAGCGCGATAATTGTTACAGACAGGAATAACACTGATGCAGCTTTTATGCAATCAGTAATGCATTTTGTGGGGTTTACTTAGCAAAAGAGCAATGTAAAAGAACTATTTCCTGTTCATCTGTGTGCGACATAGTCTTTTAGACGGGAGGCTGAGAAAGCGCGCGAGTGCAACAAGCAATTTCTAAGCCACCTTCTGTATCTGTGTATGTATTTATAAAAATGTAATAACTTATTAATCTTGAAAATGTGGATGTTATTGCTAGATATGTATATTTGAACTGGAAGGGAAGAGATGCAAAATTGTGATCCAATGAATGTTTAATTTTATTTTATTTTAAATTGTAAGAGTATTAAGGCATGACATGATAGCAGGTCATATTTTGATTTACCTGAATAATAACAACAACCGTCGAGACGCTTTCCGTAGTGGAAAACTACTCTCTGAAATTACACTGGAAACAAACTCAAAAGGACAGTGCGAGTTGCAACCGTGGCTGCTTAAAAAAAAAAAAAAAAGAAAAAAAAGTGTGACATTCCATCTTTTCATGTTTTTAATAATTTTATCATTATTTTTTTACTGTCAAAGCTGTATTATACCTTTTGTTAGATACTGAAATGTTAACTCTTAACTGCTGTGGTGGCCCAAGTGGTTTCCAGTTTCATTGTTATTAATGATACGATCGGGACACTTTATCAGCAAATAATCCCTATCTTTTTTTTTAAGGCACGGTATTTCATGGAGCCATGAATGCTTTTCATCATATAGTAATGCTTAATGTTTGATTTATGTATTAATGATGCAATTCTGTTGTTTACAAAATGTTGGTCCTTTTGATTTTTAATGCGACTTTTAAAGTACAGCCTGCTTTCACTGGAACAAAGCCACAGTCACTCCAGGGAATGAAGCCATGCAAGTCATGCAGATAAACTAGCATAGTCCACTGGAAATTTGTGACTGGATTGTTGTAGTGCCAAATTTTGTATTGTTCCACTACCAACAACTGTGGTATTTACAGACTGTACAATTAAAAGCCTCTTACAAACTATCCGCTCCACTCCTAAGAATGTACATTTTCCACTGTTAGCCGAACATTCCTTGATGTGTTGCTTTTTTCCCCCCCATGTCATTTTGCTATCCATGTCATGCCCATGGACAAACTTACAGGTTAAGCTTTGGTCTTTGTAGTTACTAAACACTGATGTCAATGACTGTTCTAAATTGCCAAACCTGCCAACAAATACAGTTATATCTACTAATCCCATAAATATTCAGCTCCTGGAACAGAATCACTAGTTAAGTTAGCACGCACTTTTACAAGTAAGTATTGTCACCTTAAAAATTAAAAATGTAGGTGTATGGCAAACCACAAACCCACACACTATGCACACTGGTCTGTAGAAATCTGTAAAGAATTATGACTGGACCAACATGAATACGGCGTCTAGTCAAAACATACTAAGAAATGGTATGGTGATCACTGGAGCTATACTTGTTTCTTTTAACTAATAGGGATCAAGTATATGTGAATCTGAGGGATCCTGGCAATAAAAACTGAACTTGTTTCTGTACGAGCTGGTGTCAGAAATGTATCAAATATTTGTCTATTGAACTCAAAAAGCATTTGCTATATTTTTGTTTTACATCAACACTATCTTTTTACACACTGAAGGATGTCCAAAACTCTCTAAACGTGTGGTCTATTTAAATGTCCACATTTAAAATTAACAATTTAAAAAGGTCAATACCTCAATCATTATTCCAATTTTTTTTTGTCTTACTCTGATTTGCTAGCATATTATTAGTGTTTATGTTAGAATGGATTGTATGTTTTTCACGGGAAATTGCATGCTTCACTCACCTGTGTGTGTCTCGTCATATCAGTAAATAGAGAAGTTATTCCAGCTACTTTGGCTGTGTCCCAATTCAAAGACTGCATGCTTTAAATGACACATTGTTACAGTAAATGGGACGGTCTACCATATAGAGGACTGTTCATATCACTGTTCATGACAGTATGACAGTAACGTTTGTACTACTTTTTTAAAAGTTATATTAAACTGTCCGAAAACAAAATAAGGTTCACAAATTTTCTAACAAATAGGAGAAAAACCGGGAGATAACACCTACAGACATTTGAATGCAAATCAATACAAGACCAGACTGAGGCCCTGTTTACACGAGAACGCTCGCGGGTTAAAACGTAAAAATATTTTATCGGATGTGCCTTTCATTTACACGGCGAAGGCGTTTTTGAGGCTTAAAAACGCTCCACCGCCGCGTTCCCGTGTAAACGGTAAAAATGCAAAAGTCTGGACTTGGACTTTGGACTTGCTCGTGGACTTGGTGTTGTTGTGTATGCACTCCTAGTCGCCTGAAGTGCATACTACATTGAATTTCACACACTTTTGCGTCACCATTTGCACGCGGATTTCCCAAACAAAACGCTCGTCTAAAAGCAGAAGAAAAAGTGATGACGCAACGCCACTTTTGCGTTTTCTCTTCAGAACCGTTTCCGTGTAAACATAGCCTAAAACTGAGGACTAATATACAAGGGCAAACAAAGGAGCAAACAAGGTAATTAGCAAGGCACAGGTGAGTGGGATGAATAAATGAATCTCATGGGGAAAACATAGAAGACAAAAATCCCAAAACACAAAGGCAACACAAAACATAACCCTGGACTCCTGGAGGGCAAGTCAAGTCATCTTCATTTATAGCGCTTTTAACAATGTAGATCGTTCCAAAGCTGCTTTACAGTGATCATAGGAAATCAAAGCAATAGAGATTGTTTTGGCTTTATGACAGCTCTAGAATAAAGTTATTTTCCAGCTAAAATTTTAATTGATTCACTTTCGTCGCAACAATCATTAGTACTCAATTGTCAACTTAGGGGCCGCTAACACGTCACAGCCTGGATCCGGCGGACTGTAGTACAAAATCGACAGCATTCATCAAGAACTCTCTGTGAATATTTCTCCCAGCACAGACGCTAAATCTGACTCATCCATTCCATTTCACATCATTCTCCCCTCCCTATCAGTCATTACAGAATCCGATCTCACTAATCACTTCAACAAAATCCACCTCACAACCATTCCATCTGCACTGACCAAGCACTGCCTGCCCTGCCTCAGCCCACTCATCACGGCTTTCATCAACTCCTCTCTCACCTCTGGAACAGTTCCTTCTTCCTTCAAAGTTGCAGCCATCACACCAATACTTAAAAAAAAACCGGGCCCAACAACTTCCGCCTCCTCTCCAATCAGCTCTACGAAACCTTTCAGTCTGGATTCCGCACTCATCACTCTACTGAAACTACACTACTCAAATTAACAAATGACCTCCTGCTCGCCTTTGACTCTGGTTCCCTCTCCATTCTCCTCCTACTTGACCTTTCTGCCACCTTCGACACCATTGACCACTCCATCCTTTTTTCAACGCCTACAGCATCTTGGCATCTCTGGCTCAGCTCTCTCCCGGTTCACCTTCTACCTTACCAACAGATCTCAATTCATATCCATCAACAACTGTACGTCTCACACCATACGTGTCAATCACGGAGTCTCTCAAGGCTCGGTGCAAGGTTCCCTTCTGTTTATCCTGTACATGCTTCCCCTTGGACTTATCATTCATAAGAATGGATTAAAATTCCATAGTTACCAAGGGGGAAATCCATCGACCGGAAGGTGAAGCCTCACGGGAGCTGCCATATTGTAGCAGAACTTCACTTGCGTTAGCATTTCCATTGACTCCCATTCACATGGCGTCACTTTGACAGCAAATAACTTTAAATCTGAGGCATTTGAAGAGTAGTCAAATACTAACTATTCACATTAATGTTGGCCTGAACTGAGTGTGGAATTGTTTTGTATCTAATTTTAATCATTCGAGATTCTAACGTCACAATGCAGTTTTATGTTGTAATATTTTTTTTTTTTTTATTATTACAATGTCATAATTGTGTTATAATGAGCCCGGCCTGAACCCTGCTGCACACTCCATCACCCATGAGTTTCCTGTGCTTCCTGTCATGGCCATGGAGTTCATCCCCAGATGTTTGAGCTTCCTGTATCTCCTGAACTTCCTGTTTTTGAGGAACATCATAAGCTCATATTTGCTAAGTTTAAAGTATAGAAGGTTGGAATCACATTCCACCAAAAAGGAGCAGAGTGAGTGAAAGTTTTATAAAGCGACTTTGTGCATGTTGTGATAAAAACAAATAACAAAATAAAAACAATAACCAGATGCTGCTAGTTCACTGACCTTAAATTGTATGATGAAACACACACTTGGAGTGTACTGAGGCAGTTCCAATGACTCTGAGTGTGACAAACAGGCCAACTTAAAAGACCTTTTCAAAACAGTATTCAGAGACATTCACTCTTTTATTTTTGTTGTGTATTTTTGGACTGTTGATGACAACAATACTCTGGGTTTTATCTTTATTTGACTTGAGTGTACTGCGTGATATCTACCAGAACTTGGAATAGAAACAAATCTCTGACACCATGTTTAAGTTGTAGCTTATCTGGTTTGAGGCACCAGTGCTCTATGATTTGTGTTTGTTGTTTCTCTATCCTTGTGGGAACTTAAGTTCTAAAACTAAATATCTAAGCTAAAATATTCCAAAGGCCCCTAGAAGGACACTGAAAACATGACTCAACCATTTTAAGAGTAACTATGTTGGTCTTTTTCACTGCAGAATGGAAAGTATTATGGCATTAAGCATGTCTCATAATAGTCTCTCTCTTTAATTTAGCCACTAATTGGAAATCTAAGCTGCATGATCAAATAGTAAAATTATTATCACGTGACAGCTTATTGCATATCGTATCATTCATTCTGCTGGAGTATTGAAGAATCCCGAGAAAAAAAAAGCACACAGTAAATGTCGCCACCTGGTGCTGAACATCGGTATAACGTTACTCAACAGTGCCTTTAATGCTGTTCAAAGTTGTTATTAGTTGTAAGGATTATATACAGTGTGCTGGCGAAACATTGGATTCAGTTTACTTATAATGTTATCGAATGTATTATCACTGTGCCACATTTTATTTTGCAATAAATAAATGCAATTGTCTGCAAATGAACAAGGTTTCCTAAAGGTCGGCCTACAAAGAATTGTTTGGTTTGAACAATCGCCTCACACGTAACGATACCGTACCAGTCAATGGCTGCTTTTCAATATGCCTCTCCGTTTCCTTGCTCCTCCGATCTCCGTCCTCCATCCTATGACCCTGAAACCGATCGAGCCATCTTAAAGGACATCTCAAGTGAGGATCGAGGAGTGAGGAAATTTCCAAAGCCATGAGCGAGGATACAGAGGTGTATCCTTTGCGGAAGTGTTTTATCGACTAAACGTAGGCTATGCAAGTTCAAATTCTCCTCCCCCTTCACATCTGTCACAATAATTTTGAATTTATACTTTACCTTTGTAGTTTAAATAAACCACACATCTCACACATTTCAACAGGGTATCATATTTTAATATCATAACTTCAACAACATAAGGGCGGATCCTTTGAGTGCTGCTGTGACATGCGTGACATGAGTGATCAAGTGTATGAAAAAGCTTAGCTTTGATTCCTCTATTTCCATGCAGCCTTCCCTCACATTCTCTTGGGGGTGGCCTGAGACCTGAGGAAAGGAAACGAGGATGCACAAATAAGAAATGAGCACCCAATGTTTGTCTTGTCATGTCTCATCCCAAGGCGTCATATACTGACGCTTTTAATACAACCAACGCACATGGCACACCCTTTAGTGTCAATATGAGACGCAGATATACAGTATATGGGCCAGAATGCGCCTCCTAGTGGTCTAACCCTAACCCTACCCCAGACCTAAACCTACCATAACCGAAGTGTGTTTGTTATATTGACCATATATTTCCTACGCCCCATAAGGCCTTGCGTCAAAAGTGGGCACGTCTTCCGGTTCGAAGTAAACAAAGCGCGACTTGACATGCTTGACACTCGTTCCTTCAACAGTTGACAGTCATTCAAGTTATAGCGCTCCAAACTAGCTAACGATGTGGGAACACAA